CAGTAAGTATATTATTATTATTATTATTATTATTATTATTATTATTAGTGGTAGTAATTGAAATATTTTCATAATTCTATATTATGTACATGCGTCTGTCTAATTAAATTAAATATTTCATTTTATAAAATTAGTAAAAATAATTCACCTTATGCTATTGTTGACTTTACAAACAACGGTTTATATGATAGTGTAAATAATTCAACTTTTTCACTGGAACGAAATATAATATATGAGTGTGTGTTGATAATTGTCAATTAATATTTTTTTAGATTTTAACTGAAGACCAAAGTTACATTGTTTCAGTAGATTTAAATGTTCCAGTTTCTGAGAGGAATATAGCGTTAGGTTTGATTGATATTTAATATTTCTTATTAATTAATGAATTATATTATATTAATTTATTCTTATTTAATAGGAAATTTTATGATTGGACTGGAATTGAAATCTAAAGACAACAAAACGGTCCAATCATCTAGTCGCCCAGCTAATATTAATTTATTGAAATCATTTGATATTATTTGTTGATTAAGGTTTTGATAATAACATAATAATGATAATAATTTATATCATTATAGTGTATTCTTGCCTATCAATCAACCCTTCTTCGTATTTTTACAACTATATGGCAAATGTTACCTTTATTATTTGGATTTTCTAAGGAGGAACAAAATTTACATGTTGTAATGTTAGAAAATATGGTGGAATCATCAGTAAGTTGATTTTGTCAATATAAAAAAATTTTTATTTCAGGTTTATTAATATGTTACTAATATTCAGGAAGCACCAATAACCCATGCAATCATTACTATTTCAAATGAAAACTTGGAAGTTTATATTGCAAAAATAAGATTGGATGCTTATTTTCAAGGCTTACGGTAAAATTATTTTTTGACTTATTTTATTAATCAAAATTGTTTTTTATAATCAGTATTAGCACATCAGGCTATTTTCTTTGACATGGCAGACTTTAAAGAAAGAATTGGCAAATTTTTATGCTTTCAAGTAAACATAATCTTGTACTTTTACTCTTTCAAGCACGATTTTCATTTGTCGGCAGTTTTTTCTTTGAAGAGTAATAATGGAAAGAAGTCTATATTTTTCGATTTTAGAGACACCATTCTCAGAAAATATATGGTTTGTATGAGGGGTTTTTTTCCAGGAGGACAAAAAAGGATTTTACATTGACATTAATAATATTGTAACTATTTACTTTCCACTTTTCGTATTTATTGATTATTCATTTGCAGTAATTTGAACTAAATAATTTTCATAATTCAAGATGATTTTTTGAACTCGTTTGTGTAACAAAAATAATAAAACGCGCATTTATTTTTGAGGATTCTTTTTAAAAAAAAGAGAAATTATTATTTTGTTTTTAAAAAAATGTTCTTCAATTCTACGCGTAACTCTTTATGTAGAACAGCTTTGGATTAGGAACAATACCTATTTTGCCTACTTTATACGGCAAAATTTTGAAATTTTTTCCTTTAAAGTTTCAAAAATAATTGAAGTGCAGATCTTTTTACAATCTATTTTTAGAGTTTCCCCTGTTTCTATTGAAAAGTTCCCGTGTATCTATCAATCAATCGATCCATCTATATAGATGAATAAATAAAGTAAAAAGGAAATTAACCAGCAGTAATCTTTGTAAAAAAAAATTTTGGAAAACAAGATGCGAAAGCATCACCAAATGGAAGGAAGGGATCACAATATTATTTATTAATAACAATGGTAATATAATAGAAATAGAATAAATATAAAAGATCATGAAATTTAAATATTATGTAATTTTCTTGGTGAATGTATTTTTTTGCTTTGTCTTCTGTGTTCTAGTGTATTTTCCCAAATATATGTATACCAAGTTTATATAATAAAAGAATGGAATTGAACTATGGCGATGCCACGTGTCAGTAGGCCTCCCTCCTTTTGAGGAGGCGGTTATCATTGTACTATATAGTACGATCTTCCCTTTTAAATATTGACATGATCAACACAAAAATGGTTGTTCAGGCAAAACAAAAAAAAATGTATCTAGATAAACAAGAATTTATGATGGAAGATAATGTGGACAATATGGTGATTGGAATGGGAGAAGAAGAAATGTCAGAAGAGGAAGAAGAAGAGGAGGAAGAAGAAGAAAGAAATTTTTTTTCAAAAACTGATTATGAAAAAGTAAAAACAGCTTTAATAAATGAAAAATTTGCTCCAGAAATTTTACCTATTGAGCCAGCTTTAGATAATTTATATGTTGAATTAAATAATCAAGTAATGAATGATTCACTTGTTTATATATATATTTGGGGAAAAATACAAGATTAAAAAAAATAAAAAGAAATATATTAAAATCTATATATATATAATTTATATATAATAAGATGGAATCAGCTCTTAATAATTTTAGAAATGCAAAAAGTGAAAGCTCTTATATAGGTTTCATGTTGCTTGCAGATGTTGAACGTATGAAATATATAATACAAAAATATACAATGATACGAATAAGCAAAGTAAGTATTTTTGTTATTTTTATTATTTATTAATAGATTTATGTTAAATATATATATTAAAAAACATAATTATATAAATCAAAAGATTGAAAAACAATTAGAATTAATATTAAACACACCAGTGTATTTACAAAGATTGTCTGATGCAGAATCAGTATTTGCTAACAAGTAAGTCATAATTATGTAAAAACAATTATAAATAAATCATATTATAATTAATATTGATTATTGTTTTTAAAAAAAAAGTTACAAAAAACTTATTAAACAGTTTGAAAAGGATGCATTTTTAGATGATATAAATGATATAGGTGATGATGAAATTGAAAGGGTGGAAGAGGAAAATAGTATTGAAGAATCTGAAGATATAGGTTAATATAACAGTAATAATAAAATAAATAGATTTTTCTGATTTAATTAAACTTCATTTTCTTTTTTAGATTTATTATCAAGTCAATTGGATCTTCAGAAAACAATATTTTGTCGTGCTATAAGAATGGTTCATGAAAACCAACTTCCTAAAAGGTATATATTATCCACACTATTATTTATTTTTTATTGAGGAGGAGGTGAATGTAAAAATAAAGAATCTATATATTTATTAATTAATTGTAGTAATGATTACAATAATTATTAATGTTTTTCATCATTGCCATTTATTATAACTATTTTTTAGTGATGGAGAAAATTATTTTTTGGATAGAATGTCACCAAATGAAATATATTTATTAAGATATTCTGAAATCAAACAGTTATTATTAGAAGGTTATGTGGAACTTATATAACTTTATTCCATAGTTATAAAACAGACTATAGAAGATTTCCTTTTTTGAAAAATTGTAGATTAGTGCATTTGACAAAAATAAATAAGATTTTTAAAAATCATGCAAGACTAATAATAAACATGTCAAGATTTTTGAAATATTTATATTGGACAAAAAATGTTCTATTCCAAAATTAGAATTTTTTTTCACGCCTTTATTATTATTAATAATTGTAAAAATAAAAATATCCAAGTTTAAATAAAGAAATATTTAGAATTAATCAGCATTTGAATAAGTTATATTTTGTAAAAGTCTTCATGTTTAATACAGTGAAGATCATCTATACTCAAAAGTTATAATTTTTGAAATATTATGTGATCCACACATTGGATTTTAAAAAACCTACCACCATTCAATTCAGCTTTAAAAAGGGGTCTATTAATCTAAAAAAATTTTTGTCTCGAAATTTTCTTTTCATAGATTTTTTAAATTTGAAAGTTATGCTCAGAAGTGCAACAATAATTTTCATGTTAGAATATTTTGAATCTCACAACCAAATTTGATAATGATTTTCTTTTAATGTGTTAAACTTTTTTGTTGCAAAGAACTTTTATTTATTAATAAAAAAAAGGAAATAAATAAATCAAAAAAAAAGCTGTTACACGAAATTTACTTAGTCTCAATTTTTTAAGTGTGGACTATTACATTTGTTATTTTATCTTTTGTTTGAATGAGAAGATGCACTTTTTATTTTTATAATTGCTGAAAAAAAAGTTTATTAGTAAACTTTATATGGGGCATACTGCAACAAAACCAGACAAAGTGAACATTGGTGTTACCTAAAATTTTAGGGATCAAAATTATTTAACAAGTATATTATTAATATAATGTGATTTCAATGTTATAGTTTATAGTTCTCATAATTTTCAGTTTATTTTTATTCTATAAATTTTTAATTGCTCAATAATCTTTTATCACTCATTATTCAATATTCTAAATGTAGTAAATTTAACTATCTTTTTGAATACGTTTACGTCTTACACGTCCTTGCTCAGCAAACGTGTATGGTTTGGAATGAACTAAGCTGCATCGATCTCGGTGCAACTGTGATGCCTTGACTACCAGCTCATCCCGAATAGTCACAATGTGGTTTAAAGTTGACTATAAAAAAAATGATTAGTTGAAGTTCCATTGAAACAACCAACAGAATGGTGTCAGAGACAAACCTCTATTCGCAACAGCAATGTTGTTAACTTTTCAATCATTAATAATTGATTGTTTGATTGAGGCAACTTTGTCTTCTTCAAGAGGCCTAACCGCCACAGTCCTCTTGCCTTCCAATCCAATGCATACAAGTTGTAGTAAAAACCTAACATCCCATAAAATTTACTCAGATACCCATTTATATAAAGTCAAAAAAAAAAAAAAAAAAAGACTCGCCATAAGAATGTACGCCAAGTGTATACAATTTCCTAAAGTCTTTACATCCCACACCATTGTTTTCTATTGCTTCCTGGAGCAAGACATCACGCATAGCAACCATGAGGTCGACTTTATCATTCCATCTTTTTGAACTACAGGCTTTGGGTAGTCCTCCTGATCGCAGTCCAATAACTGCCTCAAAGCCATCACAAGTAATCCTGAAATCACAACGTTGCCCAATCAACGATCTGTCAACTAGTTTCTTATTTAGGTTTGCAATCATTGCTGATGCAAGACTCTGTATTTCTCCTCTAAAAATGATATTGTCAGCAAATAAAGAAAAATATTTTCATACTTTCCGTCAGGAAAAAAACCACTTAACTCATCATACACAAATTTCTGATGATAAGTGATAACACCCCTGGTCATCATATTGGTAAAGTTATTTGAGAAAGAACCTTCTGACATGGATACCTTCGATCGATCCAGATTATAGGCACTGCATACCATATTGTGAGAATGTTCAATAAACAATTACGATATAAAGACAAAGATCAAATGGAAAACATACTATGTTTGAACCAATCTTCATATTACATTTATCTTTGGACATCCCTAAAATCAAAATGCATAAGTTTCAAAAATCAAAATACACAAGTTTTAATAGATTAATATTTAGGTAACGTGTACCTTAATGATACATTCTTCAATATCCGTGACAATATCGTCTGATTTTCTCTTAAGTATATATCATAAAACTAAAAAAATTGATGCTCCAAGAAAATTTATCAGGAAATCTATTATCAAGTGTACTGATGATAAGGAGGATGAGGATGATTATAATGAAATGAAAAAGTGAAAAAAATGACGTTGAATCTTGGAATGGTGGTTTAGAGAAAAGAACATATATTTTATTTCAAAAAGGTTAAATAATATCATCTAAAGTAGATCCCAGCATGTGAGTGTATGTGTGTTTTACACAAGATTGTGATGATTATGGTTTTAACTCTTGTATAATGTGCAAATTTTCCAATTACACACACATTATAAACTCACAAGTTTCCTTCATTCAAAATCTATAAATGATAATAATAATAAGTAAATAATAAATATATCTATCAATTTCTTAAATTCTTCTGTAGATGTGCTTTAGGGATCCATTATTCAGATCTTCTTCCAGTAATTTTTGTTGTTTCAATAAAATCATTTCCTGCACTTTCAGCAAATCTTTTTAGAAAATTATATGCTTTACATTATTCCAAAAAATATTCAATTTTGCTTTCCCATTTGAATTATAATAGTGATCATTTAAAGAGTATTTAGATTTGTTTCATGATAAAATTATTTTTTTATTTTTTTGAGTTAATGAAATAGAGAATTTCTTTGTTAATAACAAAAATGGGTCATAAAATGATTTTGTAATCACCATCATAATAATAACATTATTAATTATTTAAATATTATCAAATTTTGTTTATTATTCTCTTTTTCTTATCTATCAATATCTTTTTATCCATAATCAATTTTTTAGTATATTCTTGTAACAATATACCTAAAAAATTTACAGCAGTATATTATTAATATTAATAATAATATCAATATATTTTTATTATCATAATTTACAAACTTACCTATTGTCAACAAAGCTGACTCGTCCATTTGTTCATAGATTCCTGGTATTTCATTATTTTTTGAATAATAAAAGCCAGCGTAATGACTTATTGATTCTAGAAAATTCTACATAATAATAATTTTATATTACAATACAAAATTAAATGTCGGTATTCTTTAACAACTAACTCCGTTAAATACTGAGGTTCAAGAGAAAATTAAACTGACACTAATTATTGGTAGAGTAATATTTCGATAATAGTACAATTCTTTTCATTAATAATAAGCTTGTGCTTTTGAATTACTTACTGGTTCTGGCAATGGCAATGGTAATGATGCCTCATCATATAAATTATAAGAATTAGAACTTTGTTTGGATGACGTTGCTTTATTTTTATTTTTTTTGTCCATTTCTTGAATTTTATTTTATCAACTATTTTTTTTTTTTGTCAACAATTATTTGTACAACATGAATGTTTTGTTCTGATCTGCAGAAATACAAAAGAGTATCTCGGAGAATTGACTTTTTTCTAAATATCTTGAGATAAATTGGCCAGCATATGTGAGTTAATGCTATGTCTTAATCTGTGAGATCGAGATTTTGTTTATTTATTTATAAAATACTTTGAAATAAATGAACAAAAATTGTTTTAATCGGATTTTTATAGATCAATTTGTATAATCAATAATTTTTTTTTATTGGACGATTTTTTCTATCATTATAATAAACTCTTAATTATTTTATTTTCTTTAGCAGTTAAAATTCTTTCCATTTAAAGATTTTTCCACGAGTGAAATAAAATAGCTAACGAAAAATTTATCACTAATGATTGAAAACGTTAGCTACAGTAACATTATTAACAACATTACTTTAAGAAACTTGGGTGGGTAGAGTTGGTGAACGAGTTTCTTGACTTTCAACATATATTTACCCTGTAAAATATGACACTCCAGAATATTTCCATTATATCTCCGTGATCAACAGTAACATTATTAACAACATTACTTTAAGAAACTTGGGTGGGTAGAGTTGGTGAACGAGTTTCTTGACTTTCAACATATATTTACCCTGTAAAATATGACACTCCAGAATATTTCCATTATATCTCCGTGATCATGTTTATCACTCCATAAATGTTCAGTTTATTTCATAAAAGCAGCACAATTAAGTAAGCAATCCGGATTTTTTCCATGATGTCATTTATATTAACTTATAAATGTGAAATTAAAACGGAATGTGAGAATAAGATTTTATAGTTCTGGAATATTATTGAGTGACTGATAAAGTCGCAAATAAAAATGGGCATTTTTTTTCTTACAAAACATTTTATTTGTTAAATACAACTTGATTAAAACAAAACACACGGAAAATCCATTATTAATGGTGGTATTTTCATTCCAAATCAGTTCAGTATTAATCAAAATTTAAAAAAACCAAAGAATTTAACATGAGCAGTTGATGTTTTAAATTGTTGGCAATCTTTAAAGTCTACATAATAACAATATGTAATTTTTCAGTATGATGGATGATGGAACTTCAGCTTTCTAATGAATATAAAATTGTAAATTTATTCCAAAAATTGGAATATTAACAATAAATCTTAATTTATCAATTACAAGTGTAAATTGGTTGTGTTTTTCTTTTGTCATTTAATTCATATATCTTAAAATTCTTCACAATAAAAATAAACAAAAGATGGTAATTACTCAGCGTACTGGAAATGATGATGACTACAAGGTTTGAATATGGATCTGATCATAATTGTTTTATCTTATGAAATTGTATTTTAGTAAAAGAATATATTCATGTAGTTTTTCAAGTTAATTTAGTAATTTTTTCAAATAAAGGTCAGAGTCCATGTCAAAAGGCCTAATGAAAATTTAATTGCTCAGCTTGACTATGATTTTTATGACATACAAAA